TATTCACATCCGATTTTTCTTTAACTTCCACACAAATGAGAAGATTCTCATATTTTAGGAAGACTAATATTTGATTTCTTTAACAAAACACTTTTTTTGATCAAAATAAAAGACTGAATTGAATAGGTGGGGAAAATAAAATGATGAAAACAGAACACTTCAAAGTTTTAAAATACATTGTACTTATAAACAAAAGAGTCTCTCAGAAAATACACCTGTAGACCTTTAAATCAAAGCTGATTTTCAATCTATCAAATAACCCACAGCAACAAACCAATTCAAACAAACAAAAAACATGGAGTCAATCACAAACACGTAAAATCAATTGTAGTGGACCCACAGGATTATAAATGTTCAGAGAGCTTACTACACAGACTGCAATAGTCTGGTGCATATTTGGTAAATTACTATTCTGGTAATTCCCTGGAACCAGCATGTTTCAATAATCCATGGCTGATACAAAGATAACAACATCATGTCTGATAGCAAATCAACAACACCTTGAATGATAGGAAGTCAACACCACCATGTTTGATAGGAAGTCAACACCACCATGTCTGACAGGACCTATGAATCATGTCTGCTTAATTTTTTTTCAGGATACCAAATTTCCCTTTGTTCTTCTGATTAATTTTTAATGAACCATAAAGTCTAAATTCTTTTGACCTTTTTTTCTGAGTAGTGTTCAAATTGTGTAAGATCTTTCAGAACAAATAACCTAAGGTTCCAGAATAACAGAGATCCTCATAGTAATATTTGTGGAAATCTAAAAAGTTTACACTTGGACAACAGTGCATTGTTATACTTCAAAACAGAGGTCTGCAAATGTATTTGTTTCTCAGGAAGCTGTGTAAAAACGCTAACGAAGTTGGAACATGTCTGTATCATTCTAATGTTTAATTACTTATTTTCTATCCTTTGAATCATTCAAATGCTCTATCACCTATTTTCTATCCTTTTGACTCCAGAACTATTGATAAAATGTTGACAGAATGCCAGGATAATTTCCGACTATAAAGTTCAGTTTTTTTAAAAAATAATCAGTAATACCAAACACTGTCATTAAATTGAATATGATGTATAAGTTACAACACCGACCTAACTGTGTATTACATTGTATCATCCTTCCCATAAATACAAAATGATATATATTTACTGTAAATATCTGTGGAGTCTTTTGATTACATATAGACAACAGTGTAAATCATTTCAGTCATAAGCAAATGTTTTTTACAATTGTTTAATCAAATAAATAATCAAAGATTATACTGGAAACTTTTGCCCCTTGAACCCTTTTGTCAACAAGACAAAACAAAAAAGGATGTCAGATTAGTGCTATGGGATCAGAAGTTGAGATATATGATTTGATATGATCCACGGTGTGCATAACATTATACACAGAAATAAATGAAGTTGAAAATAACGGTGGGCAAATGTTTCACGATATACAGCAGGATTTCACGAATGGCCTTACTGCCTCTATGATATTACAGAATTATAAACAGTATGTTAAGTATTGTACAGTTCATGCTAAATAGAGGATCTTTATAATGAGTGTTGTTAGGCATCTAGTGATGGCATTAGGAAAATACATCCTTATGGGAATATATCACACAGAACATGGAAGCTGATATATATATAAAACCTGATAAATGACAGTGTACCTGGGTAAATCAAGTGTTATGATCTCACAGATCTTTATCAAGGAATAGTAATATGAACTTTCAGCGATTATCAATTCTGTAGATAATCATTTCAAACATTGACATAACGTCTCAAAGAAAAAAAAAAAATATAAACAGAAATAGCCTAACAGGCAAAGATCATGATATAATGTATCTCCCAAAATAATAGGATTTCCAGACAAATGATGTAGAATAAAGGAGATGTTTTCACAGTTAGATTCTACAAACTATCTGTGATGTAGAAATGGTTTTGGCAATGCTGAAAGCTGTAGTTCACCTTAGTGTGAACATATTTTTACTGTAATCAAATGCTGATTCTTATTTGATGATCACATAAAATATAAAGAAACTATTTTCACGCCACAAAAAGAATTCCACCTAACAATATCGGAGTGAGTTATTAAAATAAACACACAACTGGTTTATAAAATGGAATACAATGAATATTTTATGAATTGTACATATAATCACAATTTGAGCTTCAATTAAGGACATATGTTACCATACTGATAACAGAACTCTTTTCTCAGTATCAAAAAGACATATCTCTGTACTACTATAAAGGTTACTATTCAAGGGATTCTATTTTCATGATTTTTGAGAATAGAATAAAACCACAAAAAATATATAAATAGACAGAACCTTATGCCTCACAGGCCATCATTTCAATATATTTTTCATTATTTTTTTATTTTGATACTTGCTGTCATCAATGGACAGGCAATTCAAAGTCAGAAAAAAGAAAATTGTTGCTGCAGCTATACGTATTCTGACAAACTTCAGGTGTCAGATAACATATATGGTAGCTTTATATCTTAAAGGGGAGATTAGCCTCTACTGACACACATCCCAAATACAAGAATTACTTAATTATGGTATAATATTAGAGAATATAAAATCATTATAGACCTATAATGTATAATGAAACCTATCTGTAATAATTCATCACATTTTAAACTTTTTTTTTATTATTTTCTGATTTAAAATTTATTCAACATTTCAAACACCAGTTCACAAATATTTGAAGAATAATCACCCTTACTAATGATTAACTAACCTCCATTTTGATAAGATAAAGATTCCAATTCTGATATACAGGCATGTCTTTTTAAAGGCTCCTCCTGTTTGACATGCTTGATTTCAAATTTTACTATACTTTTTTGTATTAAAAAATTAACTGTAAGAAATTCCAATCACATTTTTTTTTCCCCAACAAATATCAAATCATGTGGCATAAAAGGGATAAAATGATATCGGAGTTCAAGTCTGTTCCCAAAACATTAAGATCATCAAATTGTTCCAACATTCACAAACACACATATGTCCTTCTGTTAAGGATACTGACCACAGATCCTTGAATTTTTGTAAAATAACAAAGACAAAGACATTTTACATGTACATGTTGATGGTACATGGATTTGGCGCATATATTACCAGTACTGATATATTCTTTTAAAACTAATATGGTATTATGTTTAATATGGTGTAATGTTTAATATGGTATTATGTTTAATATGTGTAATGTTTAATATGGTGTAATGTTTAATATGGTATTATGTTTAATATGGTGTAATGTTTAATATGGTGTAATGTTTAATATGGTATTATGTTTAATATGGTATTATGTTTAATATGGTGTAATGTTTAATATGGTGTAATGTTTAATATGGTGTAATGTTTAATATGGTGTAATGTTTAATATGGTATTATGTTTAATATGGTGTAATGTTTAATATGGTATTATGTTTAATATGGTATTATGTTTAATATGGTGTAATGTGTTTAATATGGTGTAATGTTTAATATGGTGTAATGTTTAATATGGTGTGATGTTTAATATGGTGTAATGTTTAATATGGTGTAATGTTTAATATGGTGTAATGTTTAATATGGTATTATGTTTAATATGGTGTGATGTTTAATATGGTGTAATGTTTAAGTATGTAAAATAAAAACATAAATGTATAGAGCCACAACTTAGCTTTTTCCTAATTCATTATGATATTCCCATCAACAATGAATATGACATCACAATACTCCGATTCCACAAATATCATATGATTACAGTGTTTTATACAGTTTTTAGAATAATAATGCTGTTGAAATATGAACTTTATAGATACTGGTGAGTAAGTTAGTACACACATGTAGCATTTAAGGAGAATAGTGATTTGTGATAATAAATATTCCCATTGATACCTCTTGTACAGAGTGAAATATCCAATTGTAGTTTTCTGCAACCAGATTTGTAAGATCAAGCCATTATTGACAGCATTCTCAGGAAGTGCCTTTTAAATCCTTAAGGTATGGTTGATGGAGACATTTCAATTCTGATAATAAGGTTTGTCCTTGTCTTTGAGAAACCACTCCATCAAAAGACTGCCCCATTAAGAAACCACTTCATCAAAAGACTGCCCCATTAAGAGACCACTCCATCAAAATACTGCCCCATTAAGAGACCACTCTTTTAAGAAACTACCTTTCATAAAGACCTTTCTATTAAAAAAACTGCCTTTGATAAGAATGGACTCTATCAAAAGACTTCCCTCATTAAAATAACACTCTTTGAACAAACTGCCTTTGATAAGACTCCACGCCATCAAAAGACTGCCCTTATCAAAGACATCTTTATTCAGAGACTACCTTTTATCATTTAACAGTCTTTACGTCAGCTCACACAGTCTTTACATCAGCTCACACAGCCTTTACGTCAGCTCACACAGCCTTTACGTCAGCTCACACAGCCTTTCTTCCTTTCAATAGACAAGAACGTTGTATGAAGAGACCATCCTAATAAAAATTGCCTGCGTGAAAAGATCACATTAACATTAAATGGGAATTTCTATCATCATTTAACAGTCCTTACGTCAGCTATCACAGCTTTCCAACCGTTCATTAGACAAGTATGTTATATTAAGAGGATTTTTTTTAAGAGACTGCTCAATTAAAGATCACCTGAGCTGAGAGACCACTCTATTAAGAGACAATCCTTATACAGACTGCATGTGTTAAAAGGCTATACTATTAAGAAAATGCCTCTTAAAACTGCCTGTGCTAAGAGACTACTCTATCAAGAGACCACCCTAATAAAGATTGCCTGTGTTAAGAGACCACTTTAGCATGAGGGAATATCTATTAAAAGACCACTCTTTTAAGATACAAACTCTATTAACATAACAGTTTTGAATATCTCTACAGATATAGAAGATGTGTAGTTTCAATTTTCTTTCATGCTTTGGAAGAAGACTAGTTTGAATGATAACATTATTTTGGCTGAACTCTGACACATACAACCCTGAAATTGTGCACAATCTACATAAGTATAATTCACTGCCAAATACACACATTTTTCACTGAGTATTCAATTGATGTCTCGAAAAGCACTGTCTGACAAGAGCAGTTGGAATAGATTTGGTGGTTTGTCGACTTCTGATTCATCCATTTCTCTCAGTGTTACGCAGTAACAACGTACAGCCTGCATCAACTGTCCCACATTCCAGCCACGTTTCAATATGGCATCAGTAACATCTTGTAACTGAAAAGATATATATCATGTTCTGATATTTACTTCTCTCATGTTCCTCATCAAAATGTTTTGCCATTTTCCAAGATCATCGCACCGTATTTTGAAAAACTAATAATACTTTATACTGCAAGTCACAATCCAATGTATATGACTATAAATGCTTGACAAATTTCTATTAATAGTAATGGGGACTTTGACCTCTGAACCCTGAAATATATATTTATCTATTGTATTGTTCTAATTGAGTTTTGTTTAGTTTTATTAGAATCCCTTGAGAAATGAAGTTGCTACAGTGACGACATGGATTCATGACTTGAACAACACTTTAACAAAGTTTCTCACAGTGAAGGAAAATGAGATCTGTTTTTAGAATGTTGTTAAATGTAACAGGATAACTGAAGAGGGATATTAATAGGTTCTGTACATTATCTCTCTCTTCATCAAAATAGCCATCTTTACATATGCCTTTCTTTTAATTAACATTTTTTCGTTAGGACTGTTTCTTATCTACTTTTACATATGCACAGCTGGAAAGTGCATTGAATGTTTGTTTACCTGTCTACCAAGTAGACATGCATCAAGCTAACAAGCAGGAGATACAGAATTTTGATATGCAGATCATATTTGCACGTCAGTATGCAAAGTATAGACACAACAAACCTGACTTAGATATAACACTATGCTGTTTGCACATGACAAACATTTACCTGATCCAGATCTGGGTGTTGAAAGGTGTAGTAAAAGATGTTGGGTACTCCAGCATAGGAGGCTGCCATCCATTGTAACATGGACTTTAGGTGAGGATCACCGCGGAATGCACCACAACCCCAATTCCCAGTTGAAAGTGGACGGCCAAATACTCTCTGTAACATGAACTGAACATTCAGTATATGGCAATTTGTTTTCTGTTAGTGAAGGTAGACGATTCATTTCTTTTATTCAGGAAACTATGGAATCTACTTTTGTTTGCTTGTGCAAGCAAATGGTTCATATATTAAGATATATTTAGATGCAAAATCCACTTTGACACAGAGAAAGTGGGGTCATTTTTCTTTCAATTTTCTTTAGTATCTTCTGTAATTGTTGACTGTAACACCAGTATCCAATGATTTATCTTTTATGGGGAGGGTATTTGTCCAGCTTCTGGCTACCAATAAATGTCCTCTGTTAGTTATTACATGTACAATAATTTATCTTTTATGGGGAGGGTATTTGTCCAGCTTCTGGCTACCAATAAATGTCCTCTGTTAGTTATTACATGTACAATAATTTATCTTTTATGGGGAGGGTATTTGTCCAGCTTCTGGCTACAAATAAATGTCCTCTATTAGTTATTACATGTACAATAATTTATCTTTTATGGGGAGGGTATTTGTCCAGCTTCTGGCTACCAATAAATGTCCTCTGTTAGTTATTACATGTACAATAATTTATCTTTTATGGGGAGGGTATTTGTCCAGCTTCTGGCTACCAATAAATGTCCTCTATTAGTTATTACATGTACAATAATTTATCTTTTATGGGGAGGGTATTTGTCCAGCTTCTGCCTACAAATAAATGTCCTCTATTAGTTATTACATGTACAAGATACAAGTTGTCCCAAACAATGAGATGGCAGCTGAATAATGAGCAGTAACTCTGTATGACTGGACATGAGATCTGATTTCAATACGTACATATGTATCCACTCGGAGTGTCTGAAAATTTGTAGCATACACAGCACAAGACGTTCAGATAAAGTGATTAACATACTGACTGAGAACGAAATATTCTGATGTCATTAATAGACTGGTTGAGAAATAAATGTTTAAATATCTTATTATGACATAATGTAGATAAAACTTACAGAAGACATTGAAAATTAAGTAACCAAACAATCAGATTCACACCAAAATAACACAGACTCTGTCTTTATATCATGAGTTTTATATTCAATACTCACCTTCTTTTCACTGTCTAATTCTCGCTTGTAAACATTGACAGAATGCTGTAGTACACATGCTGCTAGTTCTTCTGCATAATTCTCCAGCTGACGGAATGGTATGTCTAGCGCATCTGTGTAGTCATCTGACACACTTCGCTGAACACTAGAAACACTCACAGCTTCTGTAGAAGTCCTGGACTCCACCTCTGATACAGAGTCACTAGTGGTAGATGTATTGGCATCAGAAAGTCGTTTCTTTTCCTTTTTATATGTGGCATAGCTATTGGCAAGGCTTACAAAAGACTGTACTAGTATATCATTAGCCATGTTGTTAGCAAAGTCATAAAAACAAAGTTCCTCAGTCTCTGATTCTGACTCAGACGGATAAAAGTCTGGCTCAGGTTGTATGTGGAAAAGAGTTTCCAATGATTCTTGAACAATTCTTTCAGCTAATTTATCGGCAAAATTTGAGAATTCATCACCACTTTGACTAGGGGAAGACTGATATGACCCCCAGGACATTGCGGACATTTCACTGTCGAATGATTTCCCTCGAGCTCCTTTCAAAACAGAGACTGGATCGATTGGATCAACTATCCCATTATCTTTTTCTTGCACCAGACTCCTCTGTTTCACACTCTTTGGGCTCTTCTTATTGCATACAAATCTGTTGAAAATTGGACAAAAAAAAATGTTCAATCAGATCTAATTCTGTGGGTACAATGATGTTTAAACCAGTTATTTGGAACATTTTCTTCAGGTTGGTAATGTCAATAGAATAAAGTTTTTATCTATGACAAACAAAGCCTAGCCAAATCAACTACAATACATTGATAACACCTTATGCAAATTTCTGTTATCTATTTACGGTTTTGTCGCACTATTTTCAACCTTACTGTAGAAAGGATTATTGTACTGCCAATTATTTGCCATCTCATACACTATGTACGTCAGGAAGACTTCAAACTGGTCATATCACCCTGAGAACTTCTACTGGTTGTGTTATAAGCACTGTTATTCTATTGTTTTGACCACTACTTCATATCTTATCATATTTTCTGTACATGACAGACAAATCATTTTTAACAGTTAAGAAGTGAAATTAAGTATAAAGTCAACTCTGAAAGAAGAAGAAATTTTGAAGTTTTAGCAATGGATCATCACACAAAGCAATGAAAAAAAGGGTTGTGGGAGGGGGTAATATTTCATAGCAAGCAAAGAGTGTATAAAACCTGAATTCAAATTTTTTGTCATCGAATTTGAAAGTCAATTCTATTTTAATACATGATTAATAGAATGTCATTTTATACAATATACAAATTATACTTATTGAAAGTTCAAAAGAATATTTTGCACAGGCCTCAACACATGGTGTACTTTTCTTTACAACAAACTCCTACCTGGTGTACTTGGGACTTTTTGAAGTGACTTTGGTGCAGGATGCACTCAGTAATTCCTCCTCAAACCCAGCCAAAACTGCATCCTTGAAGCCACTTACGCTACTGACATAAGAGACAGAGGAATCTCCACTTGTGCTCCAGTTGGTAGATTCAAGAAAATGAAAGTCGGGAATTTTACAATCACTTTTCATCAACTGCTCTGCAAACCTAAAACAAATGTACACCGAAATAAACAGCTGAGGGTTTGTAGAGAGGTTTACAATCAGGAAGAAAGTTTTTGTTTCCTTTACGGTATAAAGCCAAGAGAGAAAAAAAAAAAAAAAAACACAAAGAAATACATGAATCACTATTTTTTTTTATATTGTACCAGCAATATTGACATTAATAGTTTCTTTAATTTCTGAAAGAAAACATCGTAAAGGTAACAGTTAAAATAAAGCAATCATATTTGTTATACATTTGTAGTATGATTGTTTAGTATGAGAAACATAACGAATGAAAATTAAGCTCATTGAGAGGGAATTCAAATCAACCAACCAAATGAGTCCACAAAAACTGAGACCTGCTCCAAAATTGTCATCTACCTGAAAGCCTGTATAACAAATTATGACATACCATGACTACTTTGTTATTTTAAATTTTACATGAGAGTGTTTGACAAATCTTTCATATTTTTCATTTGTTTGATGTTATCTCAGGCTGGACCCTTCTTGTCTATAATCTATTGGCCCTAATGTCTTTTCTGTGTTGAAGGGTCGTTAACGACAATATTCGTAAGTCTGACATCATTAGAACATGGTGCCTAGTTTTTTTTATATAGGATACTACTGTACAGTTGGTAATATTGCAAGGAATTAAAATTTTTCATTTTTGCTGTCAATAAAGGTAGAACAAAATCCAATACCTAGCAAACAATTTAACAAGCATATATGGGTCAAGAAAAATAATTATATACAAAATATCAGAGTTGAAGTAACTATCTACTATAAGGGTGAAAATTTTCAATTTTGAAATGATGACAAAAATAGGTACATAATTTATTCTTAGATAAATGCTGCTCATGAAGTTAAATACAAAATTAAAATTTTCTTTTATTTCAATTTTTGAGTGATTTTTTATTTTATTAGCCCTAGACATTCCCAGCTGATAGTTGAAATTGAAGAGCTAGTAGGAAACAAGAAAAATTGCATATAAAACAAAAAGCATTTCAGATCATACAGATTTCTGAACAAGAGGCCTTGTGGCCTTGACGGTCACCTGAGATATATATTGAATATAAAGGTTAAAGGATAGTTATCCTGCGTCATGAAACAGAAACTGTGACAATGAATTTAGTAAGCCAGTGTCAATACCTGCATACCATTAAAACTGTCATCCTATACTGATTATTCTAATCAAGTTATTTCCAGTGGGAAATGACCAACATTATACTCAAAAATGTAATTTTCTATGAAAATTTACAGTAAAGTCAGAAAAAATATTCCTCCCAAGGAAGAAATATTAGACTCATTTTGGCAATTAAAGTACCTTCAGATACTTCAATACATGAAGAGTATTTGATTACACTATGACTGGGTGTTGAGAAGAAGATTTTTTAAATTTAAGACAAACTGACCCCTTCTGACCCTGCCCATCAGCCAATGGGGGTCAATCAGGATCAAAATGGGCTCAAAAATCTAGTTTTCCTATAAAAACTATAGTACACTTTACCCCCTCCCCAAAGGGAAATGTGAGACCCTGGGGCCATGAAATTCCCAATTTTGGTAAAGCACCTTAAGATGCTTCCATTCATTTAGAGTATTTGATTCTACTATATCTGGGTCCTGAGAAGAACATTTTTTGAAATCTGAGTCAATTTGACCCCTTTTGACATCACTCCTCAGGCCCCTGGGAGGTGGGGGAGACTGTATAATTCACATTTTTGGTTCATCTTAGGCCAAGGAAGTTTAGGCCAAGGAAGGTTTCTGCAAAATTTCATTTAAATCAGATCAGGAGTTTTTGAGAAGTAGGAAGCATTAAATTGTTTAGGGAGGCAAATTGCCTCACGAAGGGTATTAAAATAGGTCACCATGAGACAGGTGACCTAAAACTGAGGGAAAAAAAAACAAGAGATCCCAGAGGGATCTTGGTGCCCACCATTTGAGGATCTGTTTTCAGTTCTTGAAGATTTGTTTATTTTTGTTTGTATGTTACAGGTGTTGTAAATGTTCATGAACTGGTCTTCATTGAATGTACTCAATGATGGCACAAGTGTTTTTATTAAGCACCTATTAGCAAATATCATTTGAAAAAGATCCCAAAGTATTATTAGATAGCAGTCAGTTACATCTTGATTTCGGATCAGTCCAAAAAGGTATAATGCACAACTTGGAACCAAAGGGAACTGCATATGAAATTTGAGAAAGATCCATCCTGTACTTTCCAAGAAATAGCAGTAACAAACTTTTACATTCAAAATCCAAGATGGCCACCTGTCGGCCATCTTGAATTCGAATCAGTCCAAAAAAGGTACAATGCACAACTAGGGACCAAGGGGAAACTGCATATGAAATTTGAGAAAGGTCCATCCAGTACTTTCCAAGAAATAGCGGTAACAAACTTTTACATCCAAAATCCATGATGGCCAACTGTCGGCCATCTTGAATTCAAATCAGTCCAAAAAAGGTACAATGCACAACTAGGGACCAAGGGGAAACTGCATATGAAATTTTAGAAAGATCTATCCAGTACTTTCCAAGAAATAGCAGTAACAAACTTTTACATCCAAAATCCAAGATGGCCACCTCTCAGTAACAAGAATTGTTTACGGACGGATGGACGACGGACCACGGATGCAGGGCGATTTGAATAACCCATCATCTATTAGATGGTGGGCTAAAAAAGAAGCAACGTTATTTTGTTAGTATTACAGCACAGCACAGTCCATCACCATGGAGGTACATCTGGTCAAGATTCTGTTAAAAACCTAGTGAAATGCTTTCAATGTATACTTAATATGTTCATGTGATTTATAGAGTAAACTGAAACAAAGTTTGAAAAGTCACATGTCAATTATAATCATGTAGAAAACCAGTTTTATTGAATAAACATGTGTTAGAATTAGCTAGGGCCAAAAAAATTCCTGGAAGTAGAACATAATCATGAAACTGACTTTGGACTAACTCAAGGGCAGGTATTAATTTGGGGACCTTGTCATTTAATTTTAATGACTGAATCCATTTATTAAAAACTGACCCAAAAATCTGAACATATAGATTACCGAGAAAGGGTTGGGTCTCTAAACCCACAAGAGCCACGGCGAAGCTGTGCCCTGAACTCCTCTAGGGATCCCCATCGACTGAGTTCCTGAGCAAATCTTCCTACATCTTCATCCGTCAAACTCATGTGTTTTTCTCCCTTTCCAGTGGTCCCATTGGTTGAATTCTCAATCAGGCATTTTGCAGCATGATTTGAAATTTTTAAAGGTTCACTACTCCGGCGATAAACATTACCGCCATTCATATTCCGCTGAACTTCCACAAAGGCATTGGTTAGGAGATCTCTAGAAAGCGAGGACGCAAAGAAAGTCACTTTCCGAGGTTCCTTTTCCTCACCATGTAATTCACGGTGGTTATCACGAGACAAAGAAAGACAACTCCCACTACTGTTGGTGCTATGGCAGCGGTATTTGTTTCTAGGAGGTTCCAGTTCATTATCAGATAATTTGGATTTTGGTCTCAACTTTCCTTTCCTTGGAACTCTCTCAGTTTTAGGTCTCACACTTGCATCATTTGACACATTTTCTCTACTTAAAGAGGCCATACCTAACAGTGCATTTGCAACCTGGTCCTGTACAATCCTTTCTGCAACATTTAGATAAGCTTCCTCCGACATTTGTTCATGTTTGCTTTCATCAGTGATCATCACTTGCGGTATCCTACAATTCTCATCAGTATTCTCAACTTGGACAATAATATCAGCTGCAGTTAATGGTCTATCAGAATTTAAAGTCTCAACGACTTGATTGTGTGTGTTGGAATGTCTCTGTGCCTGATTCCTTGCGTCACAGACACTGGCACTATCTCCAAGGAAAAATACATTGTTTGAACTGTCAACATCTTTATTGTAACTTTCATGCTCAGCTAGATGATCAAACACAAGTTTGCTATCTGTATTGTCTATATCATCACATTCATTCATTCTCTCGTCCTCCTGCTTTAACACAATGCCACCTGAATCAGAATCACTATCAAACGTATCATGGTCTATATCCTGAATACTGATATCACTGTCTAGCTCCTCAGAATATTTCTGAAGGGCTCCAATCACAACCCCATGTACAAAATCTGTAGCCACCATCTTCATCTCTCTTGCCATTGCACGTGAAGAATTCCCCAAGTCTTTTGACTTAGATTTGAGGTAATTGTTTTTCTTCATTTTGTTTTGTTCTGTTAAAATATCTTGTCTTAAGAGATCAGATGTATACACAGTATATAATTCTGATGAAGCACTAGCCTCCAGCCTTCCAGCCGCAGGAAAAGTATCGCCAGTGCTACAAGATGCCCCAAAATCTGCTTCCTCATCACAGCTTGGCTTGTTGGAATCTCTAGTAATCTGTTCTGGGAATGGAAAAAGTGTCCTGATAAAACTGTCTGCAAATCTCCTTGCAGTAGCTTCTGAAATATCACATTTTGTCTCTGAGGTTTGAAGCCTCTCGCTAGGCTGTTCAATGGAATGTTGTTGAGCATGTGACAATGATGAGTCAAGGACATGTTCGTCTGTGTCACTACTACCACTTTCCATGCTATCAGTGGATTTCTTCCTGGCTTTTGGTTTCACCATTGATTTGTCAGGAGCACTAGAATGGAAGTTTTGAATGCCTGGTTTCTTAATGTGAGCTGCCAAAACTGTTCCCTCATGTAAAAGTTTTGCTGCTAAATTGATGGCATATTCATTAATATCTAGAAAATTCTCTTCTTTAATAGTTTTTTGAATCACTGGTTGTTCTCGTTTTTGGAAGTTTTCATAGAATTCTTCAAACTCTGAACTAAACTCTGAACTCTGCCTCGTACTAGTGGTACTACTACGTGAACCAATGTCACTTAAATTAGAACTGCGTCTCCTAAACCTGGACACCCAATCAGAAAGATCTACATCCAAGTTCTCTTTCCCTTCCAGTGGTAATCCATCACCAGGCTTAATAGATGCTTCCTCAAATTTGACAGAAATCTGTTGAGTGGGCGGAACATTTTGACAATGACTACCATGATGTCCCTGACCTTGACCTTTAAGGCAACTTGAAGCTTCCAGTAGAGCTGAGGAAAGAATGTCAACAAGGAGACCATCTGCAAGATTGGAAACTGCATTGAAATCTACAAGGCAAGTAGAAAATTAACTGAGTATGTGCTCATATATAACAAAGGTTATAAACATATCACTACCTTTGATTTAAGAAACACCAGACTATAAAGAGTGATCCCCTTAATCCAAAGCAATTTAAGCCTTCTATTCATCTGAGCAAACCGATTCCTTTCCTAGCAATGCTTTCAACCTTCCTAACTGAAAACAGTGACAATCAATCTTTCCCAGAGGCACATTGTGGTCCCTTACATTTATCTTTATAAATGATGAAAGAAAAGACAAAGCCTTGTCAGACAAGAATGAAACCTGTTGAGTTTTATAATGGAACAATTACATACAATTTGGACTACTAGGTAGTGTTATTTCCACCGTTTATTTATTTTGTCTTCTGATGGACATGCCTGTTCAGTCCCCATCGAGCACAGAGATAACTCTAACAAGTTCCATGCCAAACACGAGTTTATCATCAGTCTCTTATACCACTGTATTTAACCCAAACAAGAATCATAAAATCCACAGTGAAACTATCAATGGATGTCATGGCTCTTCCATGAAGCCAGAAAAAAAGACTTTCTAGTATAAGAGCACAACTTCTACAGACCACTTGAAAGAAAACCTATATCAGAACATGCCACTAAAAGACCTGTTATCCACCAATGCTACAGTTATCTATGGGCATTCCACTCATTCCTTACCAAAATGAATCAAAGCACACTGGACCATTATCACAGCCTTAATGCCAGATGTCTTCCCGGACACACCCATCAAATATAACATTTACAATGTAGTTTACCCCAAATATAAAGTCCACAAATTCAAGAACAGAATCAAGTGCTCCAACATCACATACACAAAGTTATTGTACATGTGCAAACTATGAGGTAGTTTTACTACTAAAAACCTTGTTATCACTTGCTTCTGATGTAAACAAAAATATGTTGGAGAATCTAAATGTGAATTAGGATACAGTACCTCAGAACATTTGTGGAACATCAGAAAACATTAAGACAGCCCAGTAGTACTCCAATTCAATATTACACTCGATAGAATACCAAAGCACTGACTTATATCTACAGACAACTCAATTAAAGAATCCATCTACTAAAGCATGACTAGATACAATCACTTTGACACCACTGAGGATCAACGTTCAAGGTAATCATTCCAGTCATCTACTTACCCTATACATATCTTTGCAAATGCCACACAATATCTCATTTTGAAATTCGTGAAAAATATCATTTGGTTTGAAATTGCATTTCAATCCTTTTTTTTTTTACCTTTTAACATTAATCTTAAAATATTACCTCTTTAATATATGTACAGTCACAACTGTCATTACGAACTCTTTGACAACACAGAAATATTAAACTCAAGATAATATTAGCTCCATACAAACTTACAGGGGTCACCACTTTCCTCCACTTCCATCTCATCATCAGTGGCTGTGAGGTACTCCTCATCAGTCGGTGTGCTTACTTTGTCCTCTGATGGAGAATCAAGATCAGTCTGTCCACCATTTTGGCGCGGTGGGGTCACACCCCTCAGACACCTTGCACTGAAGCCTACGTAGGCCTTGTTAAGGTCTCTCACACACATGTAGTCACTGTATTGTTCCTGTAAGTTGTTCCTGTAGGAAACGGCATCAATGGCACACAGGGTACTCATCAGGTCACCATTCTCGTCTCTCTACGTAAAGGAAACATTACCAATATACACCACACTTACACTCTTGTCTCTCTGAGCAAAACAAATGTTTGAATGCACATCATATGTCCATACCTCAGTTTGGTATTTATTATGGTTTTATAAGGACAAGTTTGGGTGGTGGTGGTGGTGGAGAGCACAAAATTCCCAGAGAAAAACCATCAACCTGCGCCCAGTACTTGGCGACTGCCCCACGTAGGTCTAGAACCTGCGACACAGAGGTTGAGGCCTAGTGATGAAAATGGTGGGATGCCTTAACCACTCAATTACTTCAGACCCTACCTCAATGCTTATCTCTATGGGTAAAACAAACATTAAAATATATATCATACCTCCATTCCTTTTTCTCTGTGTAAAACAAATGTTACAATACATACAATACCTCAATCTCATCTCTCTGTGTGAACAAATGTTATAATATACAACACACCTCAATCTCACCTCTCTGTGTAAAACAAATGTTACAATACACAACACACCTCAATCTCATCTTTCTGTGTAAACAAATGTTACAATACACAACACACCTCAATCTCATCTTTCTGTGTAAACAAATGTTACAACACACAACATACCTCAATCTCATCTCTCTATGTAAAACAAATGTTATAACACACAACATACTTCAATCTCATCTCTCTGTGTAAAACAAATGTTATAACACACAACATACTTCAATCTCATCTCTCTATGTAAACAAATGTTACAATACATACCATAGCTACATTCTTGTCTCAATCTGTGTGTTAGTATTACTGGAATTATCTAACAGTGTCTGCTGTTATGTTGATTGCAACTTACCGTCACAGGATCTGAGTGTGGCCCCACATATAGAAGACTGCCAGCATAGCCTTGAGTGGCAGAGAACTGCTCAAAGCCCTTGATGATAATGGCCTCATTCTCTTCCATGTATTCCATGAAAAGCATGGATCCGATCAACTCTGGACACACAGTAAACCTTATCTCCTCCTGAAATATACATTTTACCTGACTTTGTCCATACCGTTATCATATTTTAACGATAAACTGACACTTTCACTCTGAATTTGTTATTAACAGTAAATATTCCTAATTTAGCTTAATCAAATTTTAATGCAATATAATCTGCACAAAGATGAATTTATGTACATTGTATTCACCTTAATTCATTTCAAAAACAACAAACAGAAACTGCAATTACTGCTATCACAGTGCTCCAGATAGCCTGCGTGAATGCGTTTTCACGCACAATATTTCTAATTTCACGCTAGGAAAAAAATAAGATTTGCGTCATTAACCATCTCTCTGTGTAAAACAAATGTTAAATCTTCGGACATCACTGCTATGTCAAATGTCACAACATACACCAATATTACGTAGTTAGAAAACTCAATAATCTAAGTCAAACAGACACTTATCGAGTAAACACCACTCGTAACAAGCGCTTTCTTGATCGTGATTATAAACCAGTCGCATAGCAAATATGGCGCTGTCAAAAATGTTTACAAATTCAGTGTTACCCTAATATGGAAAAAACCCATACACTTGATGAAGGCAGGGGTGAAAAAACCCCTCAATTTATAAAGGTAGGAGTGAAAACCCCACATGTCAAAAAGTTATCTGGAGCACTGTATCATATTGCTATCATATGCTTTTTCAAAATTAAAACACATTACAAAAAGAAGCTTAATATCAATCTTCAAATCCAAACTATGTCCTTCTACATGAATGTGATTAATTGATGTCAGCCACCAGTTTGAATTGAATATTCTCGTGTGAATTTCATTTCAAATAGGGTGATATTTAATACATATAACATATGTGGGTTTTAAGTGTAAACCAATAATGACACTCTTGAGTATGTGAATTCATGAACATAGGAATTCATTTAAAATATCTATCCCAGCATGCTACTCGCACGATATTTTGACTCTTGGCCTCTTTCTTAGAAATTTGAAGAGAAAAGATAATCTATTTATATTGATATACAATCATGTAGTAAAAAAAATGTCATATGTTTATATAAATATAAAAGCTCTTGAATTTCACTTTATGTAAACATGTCCCCATTTACAATCATTAGTGAACCAATGTCAGAAAATTCATCAGAAGTTTTCCTGAAACGCCAGTTTTTACTATAACACATTTATGTCTAACTCAGACTACATAGTGAACTCTTGAATGATTATATACTTTCATTCTAGCTATGATATGCAACATTGCATTTTACCTGTACATGTGACTACATCACTGGTACATTTGAGTATGCAAGTATGCAGATTTGTTGGAAATGATAATTTGCTATGAGAGATAATTTTTATATCATGCATACTTTCTTGGATGAATGAAACAAATCTCTGTGATCTATTTGTTACTTACTTGAACACGACCTCTCCCTAACACACCTCCACCAATATACTTATTAGCAAAGTCCACCTACAACAACAAAATTACATTGTAACGACAAGTGGTGCAAATAAATTCTTCTAAATTCTAGAACAATGAGTGACACAATATTTGATACAGAAGAAATCAGACCCTTGAGGCCAATACTGAAGACTCTTGGAGCAAATACTGAAGACTCTTGGAGCAAATACTGAAGACTCTTGGGGCAAATACTGAGGACTCTTGGAGCAAATACTGAAGACTCTTGGAGCAAATACTGAAGACTTTTGGGAATACTGATGACCATCTTATAAGAATCATTAACAATTTATTAAATGTCTCCTTTTGTAATTGCTTAGACAACATATCATTCAAAGTATAATAATAACTTTTGTCAGATTATTACATCCTGGAACACACTGATGGGAGATTTTCAGTTGTCATTTAGTAGCACTTGTCAGAATCAATCGTTTTTTTTGTAAGATTAAACGGGAATCTTTATTTTTTCATTGTTTGTACTCAAAACGATTTTTTCTGATTTGTTGTTTTTTTCTTTTTCGATGATGTATCTAGCTTTGCCCAATTGATGATGACTGGAGGAGTCAATAACAACATGCCACCTTGCCGCAGGTCTGACAGAACTCCTTTTTTTATTAATGGATCACTGTCATTCATTGATGTAATTATAAACAAAATAGATTACAAAACCATACCATAAGATATTTATATATCTTACAATGTCCACAAATATTAAACAACAAAGAAATAATGGATTTATCAGTGAAATGAAATTAAAATGAACTTCTATTTCCTATTTTCACACATTTTGAACATTGGGCTGAATGCAATATTACATCACCACCGCACAATGTGATCTGCTCGTAAACTTTATGTCCAATTTTTTATTACAGTATGGATTTCAGTTTTGGTGATCACTGATGTCTTTGGCTTTGAGGCCAAAAATTATTTTTGAATGATGAATTAGATAAGAAAACTACCATACATGTATCAAACATCAGCAACACTTTATCTATTAACTAAGGCTGCTAACCAAGCTGCTCTTCTCCCACTCACCATTGCTACAAACTGCTACTGCTTCTAATCCATATAAGCTTAAATCAAAGCTTAAAACACATTATAAATATATAGAGCTCAGGTTTGAACACCTGAAAAATTGTCTATTTCAATGAAAGTCAATACTGGTAAACAATTTTCATCTCTAATAAATTTGATACTCAAATTGTTGTTGAAAAGGTTGTTATGGTGAGTAGTAAAGCAACTAATCTGATAAATATGACACTGATAGTTTCTGGAATGTACATTTTTTCTAAACCAGTCAACAAAATTTAGATGCAGCAAGTGCATATGACTTAACAAAAATAGCAAAATGAAGCTTACAATATCTTGTAAGTTTATAACACAATATCCATACCACTAGTAGATTGGCAAAAAAATGTATAGGGAAATTGTTACCTCCACTGCTTCACATCCTGCATCTTCTATAAGACCATCTTCATATACCCTCAAAGGACATAGTTCCTGTTCACAGTTTAACCAAGAGTCCATAGTCGGCATTTCTTCCCTAGTTATTACCTATCAACCATAAAACCTCACTTAATCTCAGCAAAATTTTATACCATGATAAATAGCAATTCCTAATGTGTAAAGAAAAAAAGAATTACAAGTACTATCAATTTTTTAGGCAGATGACAATTTTTTTTCATCGTCAGAATCTGTGATTATGGGTATTCTACTAGTCAAAGCCTGTGTAATAATTTACAATTTTAAAATTTTGACGGCACTATTTCAGGCTTTAACAATGCTGTAATGTCTGTATTGCATAAGAAATAAAATGAATATGTTGTCTACAGGAAGTTATATACAATTTTCATATTCACAGCTGTAACTGGAAAAAGTAGCTTCAAAAGAATGTATGATTTTTTACTTATTTTCCTCTTTTTTTTTTTTTTTGAACTGTTTTCTCTCACATTTTTGTTTTTGTTTTCCTCTTTTTCTTCAATGGATATTTCACATTTGGACTACAGCTAAAACTGCTTAATTTGTCAGAAGAATTTGTGCTACTTACTGAAATAGGACATTGAAACACTAAGAAAGAATAGATTTTGCAAGAAAGTATGATAAAATATCATTGGCGAACTCATCAGGTTAATTTGTCTGTCCATTTTCATAAAAGGGCATTTTTACCTTTATTCACACAGTGTTGACCATGGTGCAAACAGTATAAAACTTACCTGTCGAACATAAGTTACATTTCCTTCTAAGGTCTTTCCTCTTTCACCAACTTGCTCAAAATAGTTCAGAATGCATCTAAGTTTGGCAAATTGGGATGGCCTGAAACAAGATATATCCATGATGAAAAATTGATAAGTTTAATCATACATTACATCTATAACACGCTTAGAATCAGAAAAAGAATATCTTTCTTGATTTTAATCATTTGACTTTGAAAAAGATCAAATCAAGTGACAATATCTATGACTTCCAATCATTTCTTATCTGACATCTTTCTACATAAATTCAGAATTGCTTTAAATTTTAGTCTCATATATTGAATTTACCAATATGTATGCAGATAAATGTGTACAATTTGTATATGCTTTTAGTACATGTGTGCAATTACTTAATATGTACTTACATTTGAAGATTTTTGAAAAAGTTGGAGAAATTGATAACATTTGTTAACTGGTGACCCTTCCATGGCTTGCCCCTGTCCTCAAACAAACATAGGAATCCACAGGCAAGAATAGATGCTACACATCTCCGACTGATTACTGTGGTACTGGCTTCAAAAGGCAACCAATCATATAACATCTTAGGAGTCATTATTATAAAACCTTCCTTGTGTATTTTAATATCAATCAAACCAAAAAGAATGAAACATTTTCAGATTGTCTAAATGTTTCTATTTCACGTTTCATTTGTGACATAATTTATCTGGTTAGATATACAACATAAAAAAAAGAAGAAGGAAAAAAAATAGAAAAAAAGATGCACAGTATACATGATCTTTTTTTAAAATCTATTTACAAAACTTCTTTTGAGTGGACATAAGAGCTGAGACAGCCTGTGAAAAGTCTGCACTTACCCTGTTGTTGTTTACTGTACCCAATACCTTGAGATGGTATGACTTCTGGATGGTCTAAAGCCAGGTCAATGATAGCAGGGAAAGTGGACTGGAGGAATAAACGTCTCTCTTCTTTACTGGCTTGTTTCTTCAGGAATTTCGCTAATCCAAATAGACTATTCTCTCCCCAGTTGGTTTCCTCTGTATCTCCTAACCCATTGCATATATTGACAATTGTCTGATGTTCCTTACATAACTCCTTCAGGTCACCATTTACTGACTGGGACAAATTTTTGAGGTCTCCCAGTAGAGCTTGCACTACCTGCCATGTTTCTTTATTGCAGGGAAACACAACTGTATCACGGTTACCTGTCATCTTATGATAGCTTCATGCAATCTCATGTTCAAGGGAACCATGTCAACAGCACAGAGGTTTTCCCCAGATTTAAAGCTGCAAATGAAAATTAACATCACAATTAATTTTGAAATTAACCATCATGATCATAACGGGTTGGAAACTCACTTATTAAACTTTTTAAATTCTGCTGTAATTTTTTAAATTAAACAAGTGTATAAGCAAAGGCTGCAGATGATATATAAAGATATTGATTTTCAATAGTGAAGTGGGATATCCCCAACCCTATCCAAAAAAAAAAAGATTCTTTTGTAAATGTGTAGAAGTAAAGTATATTCACCTTATAGCAGTCGGATATATTTTGGTTTTCTATTGTACTTTTTTTTTATCAGAACTCCAACTTTATAGAAAGTTAAAGAACAATGGCATTAAATGATAATGGTGGACAGAAATCATCATTTTCATGTGCATGCTGCACACAGATTCCTCATTTTTTTTTATCTGGCATATGGCATTCATTGACCCCAGACCAATATAAAAGTAAACTTTAGAATTAAGTCCACCTATTAGTCTTGTCTAGTGTGAATTTGTGTCTAATAAAATGACAAGGTGTTTGGCTTGACAAAGGGTCTCTAGTTTGAACTTAAGACATTTTCCATAACTGCTTCAGATTTGTAAAGAAACTGAATGTACCAGTAAATCAAGATCATTCATGCTAACATAGGATGCTGCTGGTCAGCTGATTTGTAGTCTGACATCACTACTAACTGCTATCATGTAGTGTATACTGAAGTTTCATGGGAGTTTTAGTATGAGTAACTGATATGACATCATATTTGTTTGGTGGAACAATATTTTCCAATCTACATCTTACTGTCCTAGAAGGTCAGACCTACAGGCATGTAATTGATGAGGCAGATCTGTAGGGACCCCAGACATAAGCTGATAGGAGTCTGTCCAACATATTAGGTTCTTCTTTCTATTGGAATATAATGACAGTGTTGTCTAGTGTTCTGATGATGGCTTGCCCTTGAGTCGAAACATGTGAACAGCACTGTCATTAAATTAAGATAAAAACAGGAACCGTGGATGACCTTAGTGAGACTTCTTCACACCACTAGATTTATTGCCCTCTACCAGTACCAGTATTGCCCCTGTCCTATATGCATTATACAAAATATTTTTTTCATTTTTTTTTTTTTTTTGTTGCAAATGATGCGTTTCTATCTCAAACGACCCAGCATTTGAAGAACTAATTGATAACTGAAAGCGGTAACTATCCCTGAAATGCATGACTATTCCCCATAGGGGATGTGCCCAACCTGTTGATGATGATGATCTACATAGAAAAAATCACTACATGTGGTGGCCACGATCGATCGATGTTTTCGTAGTGTTAAAAATATACACATATCGTGTTTATCAAAGGTATGAAAATACTCTCTTCAAAAACCTTCTCTCATGCATAAATATTGGTAAAAATGGATGCAATGTCAATTGTCAAAGATTCATGTAGTTCACTAAATCTGTCTTTAATTTAAGCGTAACTAGTTCTGAGCGCAGGTGATCCCTGTTCGGATTCTGGAGCATGCATTTATGTCAGTTTATTTTCTGTCTGGTTATATTAACTTCAAAACAGATAAATAATTCAGAAATATCTATGACAAATGCATGGATCATGGCAGTTGACTTTGTGTCTTGATAGCAAATATAAGAAGTTGACAAGTTAAAAGTGTGTATGCTAACTGCAGAACAGAAACTGGAAGACTCAAGGACTTACTACTCTTTGTACTGGGTATAGCTACCATATCCGTGTCCAACATAACATTGCAAATTTATCTCGTAACAGAATATTGTTTCTCTTCTACAGTTTATAGAGTTACCTTGCGGGTTTGTGGCATATAAATCCAGCATTTTAGTGTCTTTCATTCATTTTCGCAACATTTCCCCTATGTGACCAAACGACTGCGCATGCAGGAAATGGAAGAGAGGTAACTCTAACTTATTTTAGACTCGATTACTTGTCTTAGTACAACTTTTCTCCACTAGATCGCGCTCGTTGTAAAAGCTGAGGATAATAAAAAATCAAAGTACTGAAAGTACTGAAAGGCTAAACGTACTGAAAAATGTTCACAAATAACCGCTAAGCTATATTATTTTCCCCGTACTCCTACACTTTGGAATGCAAAAATTACTAAAATAAGAGAACCAGAGGCTATTTTTCTTAATTTTAAGCGATTTTATATCTTCTTTGATTCTTATTTCAAATTTGACGACAATAATGTGAACAAATCAAAATAGGTAAAAAAAATAACAAAATACACACAACCATATATTTATCGCCAACAAGCCAAATGATTAATAGCTCTATGATGAAGTTGACTAAATAAAACCTTTGAAATACCCAAGATATTGCAATTACTATCCTATCAATATGAGGATTTAGACAAATCGAAAGGACTTTATACCTACTTCTTTATTTTGAATGTATTGCAAAGTAATAGTCCTTACTTATTGTAATTATATTTGTAGTTGAGGAAAGTAGATAAGGTGTACACAGCATTTCAGATAGATTAAAGTGTAAGTAATTACATTAAATGTATTTACATGCCTATCTTCCTAGAAGCATTATGGTTAGACTTTTCTTGCAGTAATTATGTCTATAAAGACATAGTTCTTTGAGATTGAACCAGACTTCCATATATATACAAAATTTACAATATTTTCACTATAGCTACTACTATTTCTGATCTCCAATTCATTAGATAATGTCACCATGAAACGCTAAATGAATAAATATGTTATGGAAATATTTCGTTCTAGTTAATTGATAATTATAAACATGAATATTTTGGGGTTTTTTTATACGCGCTTTGTTTGAAGGAATATTTTCATTTCAAGGAACTTTGATACACATTAACAAACCTAGAGAAATAAGCACAATCAACCTTCATCAAATAAAACTAAAAGACAAAAAATATAAGTTATAACAAAGTCAACATCATGATCAGTACAGTACTAAAAATATATTATTCATAAATCATGAGCACCAAATGTACCTTGCCTACGAAACGCAAACTTTTTATCTTCAAAAACTTGAAAAAGTGTCATGGCGGTGGGTGTGAAAAACCTGAAAAAAGTGTCATATCGGCGGGTGTGCGCGTGGGACGAACAGTCCAATTCGGTGACGTCTACTGAGGTAAAGTGATGTTATATATTAAGACGATCTTGCCACAACGACAAGGATTAAAACAAAACTGATGTTCTGTTTGTAAGTTTTGTTTGTTTATAAGTGCTGTTAGTTGATAATTCAAACCAAGCCCCCAGACTAGGTTCTTATCATTTCGCCAACTCGCGCGTAGTGTTCTGTACGCTTACGTCATGTCGAGAATTTCGTAGAATTTCATAAAATATATTGTTCAAAATTTATCAATAGTTCAACCACACTGTGCTTCTTTTTTGAAATATATAGTAATCGTATTGTTATTAAAAAAATAAACTAATTTTGGATGCTTTTAAAAAAGCGATTTGAAAGATCGCGGCATTATTTACGCAGAAAATTGCCGCTAGAAGGCTCTAACTCTTTTTTCAGCCAATGAGAAGGCCAGGATCGGTAAATTTTGTCTGAAAGGCCGTAGAGCAATAGGCTATGCGTACTGAGTACTTTTAGCCTAAAAACTATATTACAGTAAAAGTTAGAGGCAAGTGTTTCCGCTGTTATGGAAAATATGATATATCAAATCATGACCGGAATTTACAGAAATACTAATTCTGAATTACTTCCTTGTTTATGGGTAAGACAAAAGTGAAAAATTATCTCCATTTTATTTTTGTTTTAATCTATTGTAATAATGAAGACTTTATAGAAAATTGTATACTTCCGTTGAAACAGAGTATCCAGACTCCAGTTATATATTTCGTCTGAACGATTCTTACGATCTTTTGTAATGATTGAAAGCTAAATACGATGAGTACAACGATTGTAGTGCATTAATCAAAGAGTCGACATATATTCAAAATCACAAACAAGTCATATCAGAATATTTTTGACGTTCGTGCAGAGTTACCTCCCCGCACGGAGCTTTCCTACTTGATTTTATTTTTATGTAAGGATGGCGGGTATTACGCGCACCTCACGGAAAGAAATTGCTTACAGGGGAACTGTGGTGAGTTCTTATGCGTAAGTAATAGTTCTTTTGTATTATATTAATATTATTTGATTGATGAAATGGTGCTTGAGCTGTAGTTTTTAGAGATCGCGTAGTATCGTTGTAGAATTTTATGGAAGCGCACTGCAACCGGTGCAAGGGAAATTTTAACCCATTTAAACATGCCAAGAGAATCATTCAGCAAAAGTAATTTTAAATGTTAATTATTAACAGGGATAATATCAATTTTATTTTTATTTATTTATATATATTTGTTTATTTTTTATTTATCGAAAAACACATGAGGAATAAATAGATTCATATATACTATCAGTCTATAACTCCCATCGTCACACACTTACAGAGTATAGTCATGCATCATTTTCACCACTAAACACACAGCATTTTGAGTTGCACACTATATCTTAACTATCATAGACACTATGTAACACAATCACTCTAAACATATATTTATAACTTGCAGCCATACTAGCACTCCAGCATTGTTACATATACAAACAACATCAGCATCTGACATCAACGTCATCATATACAATCATCATCCTCGTCACACATTAGCATCATCACATACCATCAGCATCATTATGGTCACCTATCAACATTAGCATCATCACACTTCAGCAGCATTACACATCCGCATTATCACATACCAAATCAGCATCGTCACACCTCAACATCATCATATATACCAACATCAGCAGCATCACACAGCAGCATCACACATCCTCATTATCAGCTTCTTCACACACTTTAACTTCCATGCATAAGGATGCTGCAGATTCTTAGACACAGTCAACATCATTATCTTCATCATCAAGCACACATAGACATGCTAATTTCAGTAATTTCTCC